AGGATAGCCCCACAAGAGTTATTAAGATTTAATTTTTAATCGTAACGCAGTGAGGTAAAGATATAATTGCGTCGAAATCGCGTGACAGAACAATCGACTCTTAAATCGAGCTCACTGGTTCTATTCAAAATGATTGGTGCAATGACTACAAAGAAAACAGGAATATTAAGCATAGGTATTTCAGTCTGACAAAGGAGTGTATAATAGTAGATAATAGATTTTAAAGACCTGTTGGATTCGAACAAGCAGTCATTAGAGGTTTTGCGCCATCACGTGTCGGCGCCCATACTACAGCTTGGACTCCTTTGCTCTTGGGAATGTATTCTTTCTCATGTAAAACTTTTGTATTGTTCCTGCCATCTAACATGGCTGYCGTTTCGCGGTAGTGCAAAATCTTTATAAAAACTTTAATGCTACAAATTAATTGCACGTGGCAAGATCAAACGCATTGATCTTTTGCAACATGATTTTGATACAGAGTTCATTTCTGTAAGAACAGGATAAATAAGCAAATAAGCAAACCAACTAGTACCAAATATATTACATAAATAATACAAATATATATAAATAAATACATAGATATATAAATATAAATATAAATTTTATATAACATAGATAATTTTAAGGATTATAATTGCACTCAAATTATTCACACACATTTTATTAACACATTCCAAAACTCAAAGTCATGTTTCCTGCGATGCCAATTGAACACAGCGAAGTTTAAGAAAGGCTATTTCACACAATGTTTTTGGCTAATTTCGTGAATCTCGAGTCCGAATCACGTTTTGATAAATTTTAYGCGGCTAAAATAATATTTCAGAAAACAAACTCCTCCACGTTTCTAAGTATACATTAGAGTRTCAATGGACAAGATATTAAGGATTTTGTTTTTTCATCATGTGCCACCCCCTGCTCGGTGATAGTGGACTTTCCCTCTTAAGCCCCGTTTACACTAGCAATTTTTGCGGCGATTTTTGCTGCGATTTTGTGCGACTTTGTGCGACTTTGTCCATAATAAATAATAGTAAAGAACTTACTTTTAAAGTTTTTAACAGGATACCAAGATTTTCCTAGACGAATGTCTCTTTTGAAGGATGAGACAAAATATTTCATATTTCCGAAAATTGCCACAAAAGTTGCAGCACGCAAAAATCACCGCAAAAATCGCCAGTGTAAACGGGGCTTTAAGCCCTAGCTCTACGAAGCATTAATGTATTTCAAATGTAGTATTRAATATTACCTTCAAGTGTCTCTGCAGATTCGTGGTTTTAGAAAATGACTGGTGTGCACTGCTTGATGTTGAAATATCAACTAACGGCTATAGTCATAGGTAYTGCTATTTGTATGATCAATGTTCAAACGAAGGGTTTGAATTAACCACATTAGTATGCAATTATAGTATCAAAACMACTAATCAGCTAATGAACTTTCATTAGGGTATTTTTAATTATTTTTTAAATTTAATTTTGCAATAAAACCTTTGCTGGTAGACTTTGCCTACAATCGTATGTTTTCATACGAAATTTCGATTTTTGAAACATTCATATCTTGGCAAGTTTTGAACTTATTTCCTTCAAACTTCACAGGTTTAACAATTTTACATGCCTTTTTCCAACGAAGGTAATCATTTTTCTATCCTGTGAGCTTTGAAGAACCTTGGGGATCAACAACGGTGTTAACAAGATCAGAGAAAGAGAACTTGCTCGTGTTAGTAATTTGCATATGTCTAGACAAATATGTCTTTTTAGCAAGGGTGGGCGGTTTACGCTGGGGTCCAGAGGTTATGGGCTCACTTCAGCGTTTGCTGTTTTCGAAATTCGAGGATTGCCAAAAGAAAGCAGGTTATTACAGCTTTCGTGTGTATATTTAGCAGGCTTTTTCCTTTACTGAGTTACCAACGAAGCACTATTTTTAGTTTAGAAAAGTTATCAATGCAAAAAACATTAAGGGGTTTTTATGCGGAGTGAAATAGAGCTTGAAAATGCGTTACTTTAATTTCAAAGAAATGTCTCAAAATATAGACTGAGRATAGCTGAATAGTGCATGTTTACATACCAGTATGTGAATATTTGGCAAGTTTTATWTTCGCAAAAAATACTCAATCTTAAATCTTCAATACGTTTTCAGTTAATGTGTTAGTTTCGTGGCAATGAGCAAAAACGAATGTCGGGAATGCATGAGCGCACGCACCATGTTTACGTTCTACAATACGTGATTGTAGGTTTATTTAGCATCGCACTTGGTCAGTAAATGCAAGAATTTATTGCTACTTTTTTGGAATAAAAGCTGGAAAAAGATTCAATGACATTTATCTCAAGTTATGTCATTATTGTAAACGAGTTGAAGTGGCACGATATGTGATCCGGTGGCACAAAACTGGGCGCTTCTTGTTCAAATGTAAAAGCTGCAATCGAAATACAATCAGTTTTATAAAACATTTTAAAATTTCAAGAAAATTGTTTTTAAAGTATAATAACAGATAAATTTGATTTGTTTTGGAAAAAAATGAAATAATGGTGGCTAGTATATAAAAGGTAGTCATGTATGAGAGAAAGCGAAAATTCATTGTTTTGCTTTTATGATAAAAAAGCAGTGAAAAGATACGCCAAAATACTTGCTTCCAGATATGACTGTCCATTTAAAGTTCTGCATTCTTTGTGAATTTCAAAAAAATTGGCATCCGCGATTTTGATTGAGGAGGGTATGAGACACAATAATATTGTTGCTCGTTTTTTCTCAAATATTGTCATTGTTACTTCTGAAAATATCATCAAGAAACATCGTAATAGATTTATTTTTATTTTTTCATTATTGACAGTTCAGGCAATTATCAATAACACCTCCAAGTTTGAAAGAGACCGAAATATTCTAATCCGCTGATAGCAACCTGAGTTTAGGGATATTTGCCTTTCCTTTCTTCAAGGTTGTTTTGCAGTATCATTATATTATATTATTTAATAATGTATTTCGAGTAGCAAATTTTTGCATGCTTGTTTCTTGTTCATATTTCGCTGCTCTAAGACCGCTCGTGTTAAAATTAAGTTTTACTGCACAATTTACTAGTCAAGGCCTCATTTCTTTATTGTTACTTACACTTTGTTAATAGAATACCGAAGACGTGGGTTCGATTCCCGCCAAATACATTTGATATTTTTCTCTCATTCTCTCTATTTCATTACACACACCGAACGCATAATTTATTACTACTTTATTATGTTTATTCTTTGCGTGCATGTTTACTGTGTTCAACTTATCTATAGAGAAAAAATTATATCTGGGATCCTCACGAGTACTCTACATTTCATATTCCGGCTGCGTTACCAGCGTGGTTGGTCTTGGTAGTGAGTGGTTAACACATCGGACTAGAATACCGAAGACGTGGATTCGATTCCCGCGAGGGCATTTGATATTTTTCTCTTATTCTCTCTATTTCATTACACACACCGAATGCATAATTTATTACTATATATTTACGGTGTTACCTATAGAGAAAAAACATCGCTCTGGGATCATCACGAGTACCCTACATGTCATATTCCGGCTGCGTTACCAGCGTGGATGGTCCTTGTGGTGTAGTACTGGAATACCGAAGCTATAAGACGTGGGTTCGATTCCCGCCAAGCGCATTTGATATTTTTCTCTTATTCTCTCTCTTTGCTAATACTGCTATTTTGACATATTTCACTATTAAGCCAATATCCTACTCTGAAAATTATTCCTGGCAATTTGTCTTTCTCATATATAGAATATGTTTATTAAAGTAACCTGTCGAGTTTTGAAAAAGATACGAAGTATTGAACTTGTTTAAGAATTATATGGATTTTAATATTTGGAAAAACAGTTAAAACGAGGCAACCAAGGCCACAAGCCTCAGTAATCTATACAAAACTCTTCAACTTTGATTTCGAATATTTTAGGGAGTTTTACTGCTATGCCATTCAAACGTTCTGCATTCACTGATCGTTAATCGCTCTTTCCTGTTTTATGATGTTACGGCATACTTGCTGTAAGACTTTACCGTATGTTTCCCAATCGTACATTCTTATGGGAAACTATTTCAATGTTGCGGCATTTCATTTTGCATTGTGTACGTCCTGTAAGTTTTAACATTCTTTCCCCACTACCGAGAAGTCATTTCGGTGTTGTCGCTTGTAAAGAGACGTAGCTAGGTAATTTGTGAAAACTAATTAGGGCAAGACTCTAATGAATAATATAATATAAATTTAAGATAGATCGCGCCCACCACCGATGTCAACGCCGCTAATTGAATTGATGTTTCTTGATTCTTCGCTAGACACCCTTCATAATGCATCCTCTTCTTAGGCAGGTTTTTATATTGCTTTTTGTTTAATTAGAAGGCGATATTTTAACCTAAGTTCTTAAAGAAACATGGGTTTAAAATATTGTTATTAATATCAAAATGCAGTGGCACGAAAAAAGTAATGTTTACTTGATAAGATGTTTGTTAAATATAAATATACGCAATGAGATGAATGATGAACAGATGGTATCTGGGGACGAGGCTTGCATCGGGTGCTATCCAATTTCGCTAACGCCACGTGCTATCCGATTTCGCTAACGCTATGCGCTATCTCATTTCGCTAACGCTAGCTTACGCAGTTTGTACGCTACACCAACGCTATTTGTTTTACGCTATACTCTCGTTATGTCTCGAGCTACACGAAGTAGTACGGCCGTACTCTCTGCAGAAGACCGGCAGGAGATTATACGGGATGTTGTTCAAGCGGTTTTGGAGGCATCCTCTGCAAATGGGTCAGGAAACTCTTCCTCCTCGCCACCTTATTCTTCACAGCCTGCACTGCCACCTTCTTCCACCTCCGCAGCACGTGTGATGAGTTTAAATGAATTATAAAAAGCTGGCTGTGTGGCTAGCTGCTTTTTGCGCATTCTGTGTTTAGATCACTCCTGAAAAATTCTATAGCAGGAATCTGGATAATAATGTAGTTATTGACTATTATTTTTGACTCTGAAGATGACTTCCGCTCAGGTTGTCGAATCGTCAGTCACATCAAACAGTCTTTCTTTTAGACTACATCCACCCGGATGATCATAACACTTCAATTAACAATGAAGTTATAATATAATAATAATAATAATAATAATAAGTCAACATAGTATTTGATTTTCTATCTGGGTATCACACGGATTTGATTAGTAAACTGACTGATGTAGGCCTCACTGATGGTCTAAAAATCGTAAGAAAGTGTCAGAAATGGGTTATTTCACAGAACTGTGAGATTGCGAAACGTCTGTACAATTGTTAAATTTGTATACATCTTTGTAAAACCAGTCATGCAGACATTTGCCTAGACTATTCATGACCGCAATATTCTGTATTCATGTAGCAAAAATGTCTGAAGCTGAAATAAACATATAAACAAATGCTAATAATAACAACTCCAATGTGAAGTTCGACGTTTGAACTGAGCCTAAGACAATATTCAGGAGGAAAAAAGGCATTGAGCAGGCTCGATAAGGTAACAGCTATCCAAGAATACTTAATGCTTACTTCCCCTTCCCCTTTCCCCAATTTTTCCATCAAAATCTAGTTCATATGTTGAACATATGTTAAAAAATATTTCAATATCTACAGTAATTTCTTTGGTTATACATGCTAGTATTGATTTCAATTGCTGATTTTATATTTAATGTCATTAATTCTATAGTCAAGATTTCCTCCTACTAATGCTCTTTTTATATTTGGAGTTTGTTTGATTCATTTGCTCGTTTAAAGCCGTCTGTTCTACCGACTTAAACTAAATTATGCTTATGGCTGCTAGAACTCTGTGTCGTTTATATTAGTCCCCACACACATCTAAGCGAGATGAACGGTGAGCTTGGAACGATAGAGACATGTGAGTTATTGTTAAAAGTGCGATGCAAAGGCACGGCTACCTTTCAAGATGGCGCAGGGAACTGTGAAAGGGACTATTGGTAATTAATCACATTGTCAACTCATGAAACAAGGGATAAATTTCACTTGTGTTTGTCAAAATGTGCTCAATTTCTGAGAGAAGCCTTGAGCAAAACAAGGGGATCCAGAGGTGGTAAAATGAGTGACTAGTCACTCCCTTTTCCTCGTACTACTCCTGGAAAAAAACCTTTATGTGATAGGATTAGTCACCCCTCTTCTAAAATTCCTGGATCCTTCCCTGCAAAGACTAGTCATTAGTGCCTCTTACTTTTTTTAAAATGATGCATTTAGATATAGCAGAAACTCAGCGACTCGCTCCATCAGTTTCAAAAGCAAACTTCAGTTTAAGTGAATCTCAGTTTAAACAGCAAACCACGTGATGTCTACGACATAATTGCATATGCTGAAACTCGAACTGGAACAATACGGCTGAATTTGAATTTGAATTTCAAGACGGATATTTTCGATAATTTTGATTTCATG